CACGAAAGTTTTATCAATTTGTGGTATGGTTTCATCGATCTCCATTTCAAACCCCTTTTCAAGTTCTGATTTTACAGATAGGATAGATGATCATTGTCAAACGAACTGTTTGTATCCATATAAGATCATAGTTTACTCACACATAGCTAGGCAACATGTGTCCAATTCCAGCCAATTCAATACTTCATATAACTGCATTCCAATTTACTACTCTCATAAACCCAAAGTCAATTTTAGATTCTAGAGAAAGTAATGAAACCAATAAGCTGATCAATAACATTGACTAAAAATCTATAAATAGCATCATAGGGAATAGCATGCCAAGTGCTTGAATTTATGTGGATTACTCATTTGGTAGACACCTTTATCAAATCTTAAAGTGTTGTTGATTTTCAAGTTGTACAAGCAAAGTGTCATGGGTGCTTTCTTTTCCTGACATAGTATTAACATTGTGGTAAAAATTATCAAATGCGCCTAGTACAGTAGTTCTAGTTCATCATCTTGTATAAATGATATATCATCAGTGAAACCTGTATATCCCAACATCTGACTATTGTGAAAACCTACCAATCATCCCAACACCTGACTAATCTGAACACCAACCAATCTGAACACTTTTCCCAGTCCAAGTTTTCCTCCCATTGACTCCTATGTTTAAAAAATTGAAATCTGAACACCTTTTACTTCGAACAGTGAACACTCATATTTGAAAAATTAACCTGTCTAACTTGAACGCTTTTTACCAAATATCACATATTTCTTACAAAATTCCTCAAATATTGTCAGTTTAACACTGAATTGTTATGATATCAAAACTTTTGAATTGGATTTTGGAATGCTATGAAGCTTTTTATGTGGTTAGTATAAATATTATTAATATTTTTCATTGAGAATGCATTCAAATTTCTTCAAAATCCAGAACTTGTATTGTAGATGTAAAAACCTCAAAATTCAAACACTCCTAATTAGAATGCTTTTAGCTGGTCCAAATACCAGTAGCATTCAGATTAGAGAGATTTTACTGTAGTTCACGACTTTTCACTCCATCTATATGCAGCAGACTAACTGCTGCAACAGGTATATATTCTACACCTGGTCTCTAAGCTATGATATCATAGTTGATACTATTATGCTCATAACCTTCAATTATCAGGGCTCATTCAAGGCTGTACCTGAATAATGTGAATTTGAGACCAATTTTGAGATCAATTTTTCAAATTTTGGACTTGTTTAAAACCTTTAACTTCATTAAAACCCATCTAAACTATGTTTTACATCTTAGTTCCACACTATAAAACCATAAATATCATCATAGAGGGATTGATCTAGAACCTATAGGGGTCAGCCATGGCTATACCTGGAATTCGTAAATTTGAAACCTTATATTTACAATTTTTCAAATTTTGGACTTGTTTAAAACCTTTAACTTCCTTAAAACCCATCTAAATTATGTTTTACATCTTAGTTCCACATGGCAAAACCATAAATATCATCATAGAGGGATGGATCTAGAACCTATAGGGGTCAGCCATGGCTATACCTGGAATTCGTAAATTTGGAACCTTATATTTACAATTTTTCAAATTTTGGACTTGTTTAGAACTTTTAACTTCCTTAAAACCCATCTAAATTATGTTTTACATCTTAGTTCCACATGGCAAAACCATAAATATCATCACAGAGGGATGGATCTAGAAACTATAGGGGTCAGCCATGGCTATACCTGGAATTCGTAAATTTGAAACCTTATATTTACAATTTTTCAAATTTTGGACTTGTTTAAAACCTTTAACTTCCTTAAAACCCATCTAAATTATGTTTTACATCTTAGTTTCACAATATAAAACCATAAATATCATCATAGAGGGATGGATCTAGAAATTATAAGGGTCAGCTATAGTCATACACAAAATCCAGCTGTCAAAAATGTCAAATTTTTCGAAAAATCAACAATTTTTTTCTCAGCTCCTACCTCTTCCATGGCTTTGCATCTTTCAGGGTTACTAACCCTGCTATTGGGCACTTCACATGAATTTTTCCAGCCTCTTACAGTGTCTAATCGAAAAGTTAGAATCAAAATAGTAAGAAAATGAGTCACGAATTTGCCCCCTGGGGTACATACTTTGTACTAATTTTCAAATTCTTTAGGAGTTATCAGCATCAATTATACTGCAAGTGATTCATATATATATTATCTATGTATGTCACTTACAAACATCAAAATATCTAAGGTTATTTAGTGTGAACAATTTTTTTCCCAGGGTGGGATGTTTTTGGGGGGTTGGGGGCTAACTCCTCAAAAAAAAGAACTTCCTACCACTCTGTGAAGCTATCACCTAGGTGGAAGTTTCATCCAAGACTCTCCCCTAACTGAAAATGCTGCCAAACCAACTATACACCATTTATTGAGAATTTTCCTCCTCGCCCCTTGAGTATACAGCCAAACACTTCTGTTTGATTTGCAGTTTTACTACAGTATATACAAACAAGAGACTAAAAGGGAGGGTTAAATATAGAGAGAGAAACATCTTAAAAGATCCGGGAAATGTTTAGTTACTGTCATACTTAATAAAAAATATTATGATTTAATTAGAAGAATACTCTAATATAGTACAAATACTTTACTTGGAATGTTCAATCACTGTAGTGTTATAATCAAATATTGTGACATTCTCTTCTATAGCTGACCCTCCCCTGAAGTATCTAAATTGTCCCATGACCTGTACTTAAGTTGGAACTGTTATAATATTAAACTTTATAATTATTGAGAACTAAAACAATTCCCATATTTCAAGTCAAACACCTTTGGGATGCACTAATTTTATACAATTATAATATTCACAAATTGTGCTCTAAAAGATAAAATCACATAAACCAGGGTTGATATTTTCACAAAACTGATGGAAGACTCCTTGTTAATATATTCACATCTCTATAGCATTGATATATCCTGACATCTAATTTTCACTTATTAATTGAAAAACACAAGCTCCTGAATCAGTTACATTTCTAATGAACTTGAGCTAATATTTTTATTGGTTATGAAATGTAAATAATAGAAAATGTACATACTGACATATTAGCTGTGTTCAAACCAAATGAGAGTATCCCAAGAACCTTGCATTGGGGTAATGATGAATGAACAGGGCAGTGGAGAACTTTTTATCTGTTTCAAAACATGAACAGACATGCACAGAACAAACAATGGTAATGAGACAAGGCTCTGTTACTGAGCAATGAGAATGGACTGAGGGACTGACACCAATGATTTTGTAAGATGAGTTTCACTTTTATTATGGTAATTAGTTGAGTTGAATCTATCTGGCATAAGCTAAAATTTCAAAAGTCCCCTGATGCCAATTTTGACCAATCCTAACAGTTTTGTGAGAATAGCATAGCTTCATATCTTCTTGGGTATGTATCAGCCTGGGCTCTTGGAAAACATCCTCCTTTGGAAAGCCACAGTCAATTATCAAGCAGGTGAGCAAAAGAAAATAGCAGGCAGTGGTTGTTACATGATTTTCACAAAGTCCAGTTATTCAACAATCATAACCATGTATGACCAGTAAATTTGGCTATAATTAAGAATTGAAATGTGAATTTTGAGCCTCAATTCAACATGCTGAAATTATTAGAATGTTGAGTGATAAAACCAACATGAACTCATGCCCTTTTGATTCAATTCATTATACCATTGTTCCAAAATTCAAAATCAATTTCCATTTTCATATTTCTATTATCATTCTATATACGATTTCTTTCTCTTCCTAAATGACGAAATTCAATTAACCTGAGATGGCTAGTAGATTGCCATGACAACCAAACATGAAAGTAATATAGATGATGATACAGAATATCTTCAAAGATATCATTTCACTCAATTTTTGTTTCCCTTTTAAAGGTTAATTAGTCACATTCCAATATAAATATTTATGTATGAATAGCCTAGATTCTTTAAATGTCAAAGTTGCACAGAATTTCTTCATCATCAATGTTTTTTTTTCTGAAGTGCAATGCTCCATGTAAATGGAGACCTGCATCAATAAATGAATAATATTCTTGCTTATATTAGAAGTTCCTTTTTCACAATAAGAAATTCAGTAAAATGTTCCAGACTTAGGAATTATTGTCATTGTTATCACCTTCCTAGTCTAAATATCTCTATTTTGCATCTTAAAATATTACAAGAGCACAGTAACATTGTTTGAATGGTTAGACTATAGAAATGATACATAAGGAATATGTACTGAGAGGATTTTGGATATGGGATTTACCCAGAGGGAAATATGCATATGAGGGATCATAAAGACGGAAGGTAGATATGCATATCTCCAGAGGGTTAAATCCCATTTCCAAACCAACTGTACATAACTGCTTTATCCTATACCAAGTAAAGTTTTCCAGAAGTGGGTGAAATGCCCAGGAGTGGGAGATATGGTGGGAGATTCTGGGAGGTGAGGTTCTGAATATTAAATCCTCAAAATCAGGATACAGGATATATCTTAGCAACTTATCTCCCTCATATCTCCCTTCTATACTTTGTGCCACCCAATCAATCAATTTCCACTCCCAAGCAAGGTTTCCGCAATAAAGCAATATCCACAACCAAGCAAGGTATTCACAACAAAGCAATATCCACAACCAAGCAAGGTTTTCACAACAAAGCAGGTGCTCATTAAGCAATACTTCATGATAACTACATGATTCTTTCTTTATCCATGGATCGATCTCTTCCATTAATAAAGCAATAAAATTACAAATTAAAAATAAACAACAATAAAAAATCATTTCAAGAATACATAAAATCAATATTTGAGAGATGATATAGATTCTTGTACATTTTTCACATTATGCAACTTTTTAAATATCTCATACAATAAAAGACCTTGCCCCCTGTGTTGGCAATAACAAGGTTTCAATGTACATCATGGGCAAAGATAAGAATCATGTGTTAGGGTAGGAGAAGGTGACAGTTCTATGATTATTATGTGAGTATTTACCAGTCCTTGTCTCCTGTTTATGAGCTAGCATAGCAGCTGAAGAGGTCCTCATATCCTAAAAAGTGAATGATTTTTTTTTACATACTTCAAATTTATTTCTAAAAATCAATCGGTTACATGTTTACATATACACATTTTCAGAGAAGCTTTTTCTTTTTTGTTGTTGTTTGGTTTGCTTGTTCCCCAGTACCAAGTGATGGTATCAAGATCAAATGTTAAAAATTACCCTGTCCCAGACTTTGTATAGCTTGAAAAGTATAGTGAGCAGTGATTTCAATCAGTTTTTCATTTGTTTCAATGTCCAAATTTTCATCTCCATTTAATAGAAAATATGTTTTCCTTTGGATTAAGTATGGTTCAAAATCACGTAAACAGTTCGAGTCTGATAGTCCTGCAAGAAGAACTTCACGTTCATTAAGTAGCAGTGGACACTTGATTAAAAAGTGTTCAGTGGTTTTGAATTTTTCACCACATTATGTGAATGGGATCTGTTACCAACAGGAAATTATGAGAATAAAAGTGACTGTTCAAAAGTAGACCAGCTCTTAGTCTATTAAATTTGAATTCTGTTTGCCTAGGCATACACATGAATGATTTACATATTTTAATCATGCAATTCTCATAAAAGCAAAAGTGTGCAGTTTGAATTAGAAGATACTGATTATTACACTGTAGTGTCCTGGAATGTACTACTTTAAAATGTGCATTTAGTTAAAAAATCTACAACCTTATTTTTTTTCATTCTGAGATTTAGAGGCATAATTTTTTGAAATACCAGAGCAATTCAAATTATAACAAAATTAAATGCTTATTTAACAATGGAAGGCTGTGTTATATTGAAAACACTGGCAATAGTTATTCCTTAATTTGGTCAGACATACCTCCTGTTCATACGTTCTCATATCAGATTGAAACATTCGCTCATTATTATCACCATGCGAGTTTGCCATTAACCTATCAAGATCTTGCGTCCTCTGTCGCCTGGCGCTATACTCTGGTACATCTTCAGGACGTTCTTTAATATCTCCATCGTCATCAATGGAATTTGATGTAGAGCGGGTGAACTTATAGCTTTTAAATCGTCCTTCTGTTTTGAGATCATTTATTGGTATATCAGGTTCACCATTTGCATTTTCCCGTCGCTGACTGTACGTCCTCGTGGACATGTTGGAAAATAGTTCCTTCAGTTCTCTGGAGAATATAACAAGGGAGTTCCATAAACAAATGATATTGAGAAATCTGTAGATAAATCTCTGTACATGCACTTTTGCATGTTTATTAAGGCAAATAAATGTTAATTTTAAAATCAAAAACTCTACTGTTCTAAACCAACCTGTAAGGCCTGTATGATCTCAGTCTATAAGATTCACTGGAGCTGCTACACAAAGACCTGTTATAAGGATGAAGTCTCTGTCCAAGTCTTCGTTTATGACGTCCTTCATACTGTATATGTCCAATTCCATGTGACGAGGTTTGGGTGCTTGAAACCTAGAGAGGAACATTTCATTTCATCATTTGTTTTTGCTTTAATTTCTAACATACATGTAGTTTGTTAATTATTACTAAATAAGGAATCACACTGGAGGGTAGTGCGTTACTAACTGCAAATTTTGGATATTTTTTCATTATCTTCAAAATGATTGTTCAAGAATACATAATATTTTGAAAATCTCTCTGAAGCAAAATGAATTTCAAATCAATTAACAATTGAAGTAATTAACCCCATGAGGGTATACAGTATTGTGTTTTTGGGATTCTGCAGAATAACATATGTGAATTTTAAATCAATCAACAATTGAAGTAATTAACCCCAGGAGGGTATACAATATTGTGTTTTTGGGATTCTGCAGAATAACATATGTGAATTTTAAATCAATCAACAATTGAAGTAATTAACCCCAGGAGGGTATACAATATTGTGTTTTTGGGATTCTGCAGAATAACATATGTGAATTTTAAATCAATCAACAATTGAAGTAATTAACCCCAGGAGGGTATACAATATTGTGTTTTGGGGATTCTGCAGAATAACATATGTGAATTTTAAATCAATCAACAATTGAAGTAATTAACCCCAAGAGGGTATACAATATTGTGTTTTTGGGATTCTGCAGAATAACATATGTGAATTTTAAATCAATCAACAATTGAAGTAATTAACCCCAGGAGGGTATACAGTATTGTGTTTTTGGGATTCTGCAGAATAACATATGTGAATTTTAAATCAATCAACAATTGAAGTAATTAACCCCAAGAGGGTATACAATATTGTGTTTTTGGGATTCTGCAGAATAACATATGTGAATTTTAAATCAATCAACAATTGAAGTAATTAACCCCAGGAGGGTATACAATATTGTGTTTTGGGGATTCTGCAGAATAACATATGTGAATTTTAAATCAATCAACAATTGAAGTAATTAACCCCAAGAGGGTATACAATATTGTGTTTTTGGGATTCTGCAGAATAACATATGTGAATTTCAAATCAATTAACAATTGAAGTAATTAACCCCAGGAGGGTATACAGTATTGTGTTTTTGGGATTGTGCAGAATAACATATGTGAATTTTAAATCAATCAACAATTACCCAAATGCGAGTAAGTAGTTACCAGTTTCACCACCAGGTGGCTGATTCGGGTCAATTAACATGGCAGGTATATAAAAAAGTTCCCTTAAACTTGAATATTATCAATTTAAGAGGCTCAATTTTCATATAACCCTTATGTGTCTGATACTTATACTAATGAAAATATGTCCAGTAAAGCAAAATATTATCTGTCCACTAAAAGAAAAGATATTTCATTTTTTGTGATTTTATAGCATGGGGTCTATGGGGAATCTCCCCGAGCTAGAAGTCACATTTTCAAAGAAAATTAATTTTTCAAAGTTGATAAACATTTTTTAAAACCACTTTTCTAGATGTAGTTTTACATGTAGATTTCAAATATGATATTACTTTGACTGAATTTTGAATTTTTAATGACGTAAATCAAGATTATTTCTACTCGCATCTGGGTTATTGAAGTAATTAACCCCAGGAGGGTATACAGTATTGTGTTTTTGGGATTCTGCAGAATAACATATGTGAATTTTAAATCAATCAACAATTGAAGTAATTAACCCCAGGAGGGTATACAATATTGTGTTTTTGGGATTCTGCAGAATAACATATGTGAATTTTAAATCAATCAACAATTGAAGTAATTAACCCCATGAGGGTATACAATATTGTGTTTTTGGGATTCTGCAGAATAACATATGTGAATTTTAAATCAATTAACAATTGAAGTAATTAACCCCATGAGGGTATACAATATTGTGTTTTTGGGATTCTGCAGAATAACATATGTGAATTTTAAATCAATCAACAATTGAAGTAATTAACCCCAGGAGGGTATACAATATTGTGTTTTTGGGATTCTGCAGAATAACATATGTGAATTCTAAATAAAGGGTTGCGTTGTCTCCAATATCTTTCCTTATCTATTTCTTCAGTTGTCCAAAGCTACAAGGAGAGTCAATAAAAGGTAACCCAAACAAATGCATGTTAATAACTCAGTCATTCAACATGGGTTTCAAATCATATTTGCCACAATGAATCCCTGTTCAATGTTTTTTCATTCTACAAAGTGTCATCAGTCTATCTCTAATAGTCACAATTTTATGGCCATTTACAAAATAAACTCAAAATATACTCAAAATGCCGAAATGTGCCTCCCTGACTGGACATAAATCCCACCAGATTTTTATCCGTGGGCCTATTTTCTACACTAGCAACCCTTGAAACATTGAAACAAGAGATCAGAAGAAAGATTAGAGCCATAACACAAGATGTTTATGCTCGTGTTGTGAACAACTACCCCAAATACATTCAAGTTGGCCCCACACATGACGTCCATATTTTATGGCATGTTTTGTAAAATGGCCATAAAATTGTGACCACTGGGAATAGACCACTGAAACTTGGTAGAATGACAATACATTGGACAAGGCCTAATTGTGCTGAATATGACACTAAACCCATGCTGAATGACTGAGTTATTAAGATTTGTTAGGGTTACCTTTTTTGGCTCACCCTGTATATTCATTTTACGAAATTCTCAAACTTCAACAGGATGCAGTGAAAATGGATTTTACTGAGTTAAATGTAATTTCCAATGTGTCACAAATTGGGAGATCATTTATCTACTTACTCCAGAAATAGATGTAGATGTAGATGATGTTCCTATGGTTACGGAAACAGAATCTGATACACTGGAACTGGAACAACTGCTTTTAACTGTAACACCCTCTTTCTCCACAACCTCATTCTCTTTGTTGCCTGAAACACATTTTGGTACATGTACTTATTAATATCTTAGGATTAATATTTTGTACTTTCCTTCTGCGTGCAGTTATTATCATTATTCAATTAATTATTGAATTTCAGTAAAAACCAGCCTAAAACTTCAAATCTAATTTGACACTAATGTCCCTTCCTTCAGAGTGAATGATTTCAGGCCCCTGCATTCAGTTGGCTTGTTCACAAAAATTTGGAAACAATGCATACCTGTTGTTTCCCCATTTTCTACGCTGATCAGTTCCCGAGTGTCTGGTGGTTCTGGCTTGTGGTCAGTAAGGATATGAATTGATTTGAGGATCTGCATACGATGCTTTATCTCATCTGAAGTCTCTGCTTCACACTTTAAAAGTTCTTTACTGAAAGACAATGATCAAAACATGAATATGTACATTCTAGATATTGCTACAATCAAACTACATGTAGCTTATTTCTATGCTCTTGTTTTCTTCAATACAGCACATATATCTATTTGAGTCAAAATGTTGCAAATTGTGACTGAAATATGTAGAATAAATATTTAATAAATACAGTAGTATTTCAGATTCAAGTATAATGAGGTCACTTAAGTATGAGAACCCTCCATTGAAAAAGATCTGCTTTTAATTTACCTTATGGGAGACAGAAGTATGTCATTGGAAATTCAATTGATGAATAACATGGATATGAAGAAATCTATTTATATTTACCAAAGCCTAAATAATCGATACCCAAATGAGATTTTCCACTGAATGAGACAAGTGTTGAACAATGGCTAACTTACCTATGGACCACATCAATGACACAACTCATAACTTTCTCATCCTCATCATTCCCTTTATGACTTGGAGCTGGGACAGTGTTATCAAACGCTACCTTCACATCTTCAAAGTTCTCCCCAACAATGATCTGGTGTTTGTCAAACACCCTCTCATCGCCAAGGTCAGGGTCGTTATTTGCAGTCTCATTAGAGAAATCGCCAAGTTGGATTTGGAGCATGGATATAAAATCAAGGAGACCATTATGAGTCAAGTCTTCGCCACAAGTTGACCCAACAGGTTCATCCACATCATCTTCTACCATTCCACCTTCAGCAGGAACATTATCATTAGTGGCAGGAATAGTGGCTTTAGAGGTTTCCCCAGCTGTAGGGGTTTTCTCAACATTTTCAACATTTGCCATCTCTGGGTGAATCACCCCTGGGGGTGCACTCACAGCGGGGGATGAGGATCTCCCTGGGGAGTTGTGGGCCTGCCTAGGGGAGTAACTCCCCTGACCCATCAATTCCAAGACTGGTGGTCCTGAGGAGACTGATGAACTCCCATGTAAAGACTGCACCTCTATGTTGTCAATGTCTCCAGGGTCATCAAGGTGATCCATGGGAGACTCACATTCAGTTGTGCGAGACTTTTTGGGAATTTTACCCAGAAGTGCCATCTCACTCTTAGGAACTGCAAGACCTATGCTCTCTGGAAAATATAAACTCAATTACCTAAATCTGTAAACATTTGAATTTAATAATTTAATCAGATTCCTAGATATGGCATGAAAAATACTAAATGACTCAAATAAAGGGTGAATAAGGGTTGTAAAGGGTAATTATATTTTATTGGACTTATACATTAAGCATTTCTGTACATGATGGTAATTTGATTTGTACAGTTAGATCAATATTTATATTGATCTGGAATGATGCAGAGCAGCTGTTATAAAATACATGTTTATGATTATATTGACATATTCCCTATCTACAAACAATTGTTTCATTAATAAATGACAAACAAACACATTTTATTACCATCATGTGAAAGCCTCTATTTTACCATTTTGTAAGTACTATACAGTTAAACCCCTGAGTGTGAATTCCTCATCTTGCAAATGTGCCTTCACCTTTTTGGTAGGCTCATTGATTTTAGATTTTTACCTCACACTTTAAATGTAAGAAGTTTGCAGTGTGAATACAGGTATCAGTATTACTCACTTTAGATAGGTTTGACTTAGCTTATTACTATCTTATAATATCAAATTGGGTTAACTGTATTTTAACTGCAAAGGCTACAGACTTAATTTTCATATTAAATGTGTATGTATTTGAAATATAAACTAGTGTATATAACTCTACTTACCAAATGTTTTTTCCCTTTCTTTATTTGCCTGACTCCAAGCCTTAAATTTGATTTTCTTGCTCCCATCCTTACTGCAAATATGACATACATATGTTGAAATCTCACTCCATCAAGAATTCTTATTTTCCATAATCCTTCATCAACATTAATGAAACAAACAGATTTTCTCCATAATCAAATACAATTTGTATCACCCACCCGCCTTTTTACATTCAAGTTCCATTGTCAAAAACTCAATGTTGAATTTGAGCAATGACATGTTATTCTATCCAAAGAATATATATTGTCTTACCTGGGGTTTAAAGCATTAATGAGTGGATATTTCAAATGTGAGTAAGTTATTGTTTTCTTGAACCTCCACATGATTAAGCCTGGTCCTTATATCTGATCACTTTATTTTACACCAATATCCCACATTTGTATTTTATAAAATGTGTCTACATGGAACACTGACATCATATTGTGCCAATAACTGGATGTGTTATTCCAATATGAAAATCCCTTTGAACAGTAACCAAGACTGAATATTATAAGTGGAATGTCATTGTGATATTTTATGTTTTTTTCTCTTTCTCCATTTATCAAAAATAGAATTTAATAATATACTGTTTTCAATATTTGTTTCCAATGAGAACATCATGTAATAATTAAAAACATTGTCAGAAAATCCACTTCAACCTGTGTAGAAAACGAGATCTAAATCTAAAGGAAATTATGGAAAATATACAAATCATGACTATGGCATTTCAAAAAAGGGTTTGTGTAATTTCAATAAACGATAGATTAACTATAAATTATGGTTCAGAGAATAATCAGACAATATTAAATGCTACATGAAAAATAACTGTACAGATAGTCAACAAGTGTACTTTGCAATCTAGTGGCATCTATACTTGCTTCTATATTTTCTTCTATTTGAGGACAGACCAAATCTGGAAAATCTATACATTATTTTTAAGATTATGAAACTTAAAGGAACGTTCTTCACAATATCTATAATTGTAAACAGAAAAAAACTGTCTGGATATTTAAGAATCATTCTGAAGGATCATATGCTGTAATTTTCATAATTGGAGGATCCTATGTTTAAATAATTTAATTATCATTAAGCTTATATTCCATTATGTTTAGACTAGTGTTCTATATGGAACAATATTGATAAAATGATTAATATACGACTGAAACAAATTGCACGGCCATTTATTGAAATAGCAGCACCACTAACAAGTTTCTATCAACTTCCCCAACATCTAATATACCAAGATTAAAAACTTTTCCAATTGAGCAAAATTTTCTGAAAGGGAATATCACATCAGTTTTGTGGTCTGTGGTCTGTAAAGTTGGTTATAAAGCAATTTCTACTTCATTTAATACTGCATCAATAATTGCAGAAGCTTTGCTTTTTTATTTGAGTTTATAAATATAACACAGGTTTTCTCTGAAATTACATTGAAATTGAATAAGTTAAAAGAACAACTGACATCATACTTGCCCAAACATAAAATCAATTGATTTAATTTTATGAATTTGACAATTTGTGTGAATAGCAGCTGAATTTATAGATTATTTTATTTAACATGTCTATTATTTCAGTTTAGGCAGTGCTATTCAATTCATTTCAATTGCCAATTAGTTTTGGTCTGTTAACTGCTTATAAATGTATCATTGCACATTATCCTTTTATCAGATAGAGATGATCGACAATAGATCAGATATAACATGGAAATCTTCTATATTTCATCGATTGCATTCAAATTATAAGTCAAGATAATCTAATTAAGTGAACAGATATTTTATATCAACAAACTTATTTTCCAATGTGAAAAGGCCATCTGGGATTATCATGGTATCTCTATATTCACCATAAAAGCAAAGATGAGCTTTTAGTTATAACAATATATTTCCTACAAGCATTATTTCATCAACATATTTTCATAGCCAGCCATTAAATAAGAACTTATGAAAACAAAAGACTCCGGGACTCCTTCCATGCATGTTAAAAGAATAATACAGGTCAAGATGGCTTTTGTATCTTGCATTTGTATCTTTATGCAATTATCTTTTAAATTAATCTATTTCTTTTGCTATCAGATTTTTGAATTCAGGGAAACCAAATGGGAATTTCAAAATCAAGAATTCAAGCATACCTTTTATGTTTATGGGAGTCACTATGGCGATGGTCCCCATCTTTGCTTGAACGATGTTTGGACTTGCCCCCTGATGGGATATGCTTAGTTCCAGCATTCAAGGCCTCCGTTGTTGCATTCAGATATTCTTTCATTTCATCTTTATTGTCAATATCTCTCTTATCCTTAACTTCAGTATTATTACTCCCTTTCAGAATACCTTTGACAGGTTTTGGCTCTATTTTACTTGTACTTGTCTTACGTATTCGGGAATACTTTGGCTGAACATTAGCCCGTGGGTCAGAAAAGAAATCCAAATCAAACAGTTGAATTTTTGGTGTATCTTGATCTGAGTTTTCCTTTGTTTTAGACTGTGCTGTTCTGCTGCTATTATGACTACTATGTGTTTTATCCCTACTTGATTTTTTATGTTTTCTTCGACTACTGCTACTTCTAGAACTTCCCGAGCTAGAATCTCGCGATTTTGATGATTTATGTGATGATTTTTTATGAGATGATTTCCGTGAATGTTTATGCGACTCATTAGCACCCTGCTTTTCAGTATTGTGTAGCCCCCCTGTGGTGCAGGGATGGGTCTTCTGATGGTCTCCGTGAGTAGAAGGCTGGAGCGGACCTGGGCTGATATTGGGATTCGCCCGTGTCGCTGTAGTAATAGCTGTCGTCGTACTCGCGGTCATTATTGAACCACCAGGGAGGCTCCTGTGTAAATGCGCCAGCCGTGGATCTCGAAGTCGCTGAGATGTAGGAAGCTGGTCAATATTTAGCCCTACAGGGATATTAGAAGGTGCAAGTGGAGAGATAGGCTCTGCAGAGGGATTTGGTCTGAATGGACTCTGATCTGTATGCATTCCTGTCATATAAACAGGTGCATGTTTACCAGGTGAAGTGACTTTAGGAGTAATGGGTGGTGTAATAGGGCCACTGTGGCCATGATGGAAATTTGGCCTGGGATCCTCAATAGGACTTGGCTCCACTCTAGCTTTCTTAGCCACATGCCCCACATGACCCTCTCCTGGACTGGACATTTGCTTCTGCAGGATCGGAGGTTCCCGACCTCGAGGTGATTTTTGACCAGGTTTCACAGGTGACTTGTTATAGTAACTCAACCTTGGTAAAGGTGAATTAGCATTCTTAAACTGCTGCCGAGCTATATGCATGTTCCTTTTATCCTGCAGAATAACTTGGATTTTAAATGCCTCTTTAAGCTTCGGAGCAAATATCAAAGAGTCAGCTGAAACCAGGTTTCTGAATCCCCCGTCATAGTGATCAGTTCCTAACTGATCAACAACACGTGTCGGCTTTGGAGGCTCCTTGAACACAGCACCATTGTCCTTGTCTACTGCCATGGGATCCATGGCCTGGGAGTTGGGATTCTGCCACATTTGGCGAAGATCTACATCACCATATGACTGCACACGCTCATCTATATCCACAGCACCTGGAATCATATAAAAACATCCAATAAACCAATCAGTTTTTATAGTGTAAAACAGAATGTAAATTGGCCAAGTGGAGAAATATAAATGCAGAACACCTAAAGTAATCCAAAAATATATAAGACTGATCTGATATTGACTTCAAACAAAATTCTACAATAGTAAGAAATCGATGAAAATTATTTAACTATTTAGAAAAATAGTAAATCTGAAATTCTATTCTCAAAATCTAACTAAAATTGTGTATTAACTTTTGACTTTTTTAGAGAGATGTTTGACTTATGGACCTAATCATGAAATTTATTTTTCAAATGCTTATTGCCTCCGTGGTATATCTGCACTACTAACTTACTGCTAAAGTAATTTCAAACTGAAGTTCTATCTAAATTTGCAATATTGAACACACATGTGAATCGACACATATAAAGCAGAACTTTAATTCCAAAGCAATAGAGGCCATTTAATAATATATACTTACATATATAACAATGAAACAAATATAATGAACAATGGCCTTATCAATAACAAACCAAGGAGTGTTAAACAACCTTGCAGATGCCAGTGTACCACCAGATAACATATCTAACTATGATATATCTTAACAATTCAATTATCAAATACATGTGTGTCACCTTAAATATAAGCAACAAAAAATATGTAAATCATTCAAGTTTTTGAATTATCTTTAAAAATGAATGAATTGAATAAGTAGTGAGTATTTTAACAAGGGGTTAGAAACAAATAATAGTGATTTATGAGCTTTAATAGATCCATGTTATACCACCTTACCAGGAAGTAAAATTGTCTGAATAAACAAGTTAAACTCATAAAATAAAAAAATACAGAAGAGAAATAAACAAGAAATCAGATAAACAGGCATGAAATACATACTTAATTATAGAAACATCATAAATGTTTGAATATGAGAGAAACATGCGTGGATGCAAGAAGACAGGTGCTGAACTTTTTGTAGAGGAATGGCTATTAACCAATTGCCCAGAGTACATATTTAGCAAATGTCAGTAATAAAGTGTTTGTGTTTAACGTATCATCAGGAAGGAATTAGTATCTCAATGGCTTTCCATTTTTTACAAAGATAATTGAGATGATCTCCCAGAATTTTCTCTATTTTAATTTAAGTGGCATATATACAGTTCTCTCAATTGAAATATTCTAGAAGTTTATTACCAAAAAATCATAAAATTGAGATTCTTATAATAACAATATTGCAACCATTAATACCATGTTGTCATAGTAAGAGAACAAAAGTTAAGAATATTTAACGATAATTACTTCGCTATTTCCATATTTTTCTAAATTTTCAATCGGGCACAAATACCATATAACAGACTTGATTTGTCATTTAGCAATGTCTCCTGGCCAACAAATATAAATTCAAATTAAGGGACACAAAACTGAAGTCTTCTATGTGTTGAGATTTTTAAACATATAGGAATTCTGTATTAAAGGAAGAAAGAAGAAAATATTACAGATAATGTTTGTTTATTAATGTTTGCTGCTATTATTTGAGCATTTGTCTGTTTAATAAACACTGAACATACACATTTAGAATAAAAATTGTATTATGTACAAAAACTATTCATAAAGAATATGTGAAAGCAGATGGTTCTGATTTGCACATATAAATTATTATTCAGGTTTCTGAAGAATCAATAAAACAATAATTTTCTAAAATTCTATTTAAATTAATTGATTCGTGTAACTGAATAGATCAATTACCATTATGGTAAATATGAATGGCAGAGTTATTATTTCATTGCATATTGTATTTGCAATTCAACTTTTCAATGATTAACCTTTTCATTAAAAAGAAGTAAACATACATATGTAACTGTCCTAAGGATACATCTATGTCTGTCAAGTAATATAATTAATAAGTCCTGATATTCTCTCATCACCTCTCCTCATTTTCCCAAAAAGTTTCCCGATACCACAAAGGACCGTTGTTTGTAGAATGAATCGAGGGAGTTTTTCATGCATTTTGGTTCTGTTTTTCATCTTTGAAAAATAAAAATACCTAGGTGTTAATCCAAGGATAATCCTTGAAAATGAAAAATAATTTTTGGGATTATATGGTGCAATCTTATAGTCAATAAAACGTTTTTAAAGTGTATTCCTGTTTTTAAGATGAAAAACATAAGCGAAATGCATGAAAAAACTCTCCCAATTCATTCTACAAACAACCCGCCCCTTTATCATGTTACTTGAAGGACACTGAAATACTTACAAGGTCCCCTCAGTCTTATCATAAACATGTCGTCATGTATAGTTTATTTAGGCTAACTAATATTTTATTAAGCTTACCTCAAACTATACACACACTGGGTCCTACAGACCAGGTTATGACCCAATTTCTACAAACAGTAACTTTTCTAACCTAATTAAGGAGACTTTGTGGGTGAGAGGGGACAATTTGGTACCCCCTGATATTTCTTCATTGGATCTTGTTATCTAAGGATCTATTACTTTTAAGATGAACTACATATCTAACAAGATGGTAAGAAATTCATTAGTGTTGATTTTGGAATGGAAAACTCCAAAAATTGTGGATTGGTTCAAAAAGATTGTTCATATTGCGAAATCAACTGATATATAATATAATTCAAAATAAATGTTCTTGGATACGAAATACCATAGCTACCCAATTGCTTCTGAAATCAAATTAGCAAAATACAAGTTATTGTTCATAGATACTAGTTTTCCAAAATTCCACTCTGCAGACGGAATTCGTAAAAACTTCAACATTTTGAAGAATCTCTCATTTTCATGAAAATCTACCTGAACTAGAAAATAGCAACTCCACGGAGTAGCAAATCCCAGCAAACAAAAGATGTATTGATAAATATCAAGAGATTTCTTCTTGAACAGAGCTCCCTTGGTATTATAGCATATAAATCCAAATCCATTCACTGGTATTTGAGTAAACTTAGATAAAAATGGTGGCCATTTTATAATTCCATAGCCATCTTAAATATGTCTTCTAGAGCAGAGCCCCTTTGTCTCTAGGCATCAGCATTATAAAATTTGAACCAAAATCTTCCACTGGTACTTGATTTATAAATGAAAGATTACATATTTTTATGAAAAATGGCTGCAATTTTGAAATTCAGCAGGCATCTTGAAAAGCTCTTCTTCAGCATTGCTCCTTTCTCCCTAGGCATCAGCATATAGAAGGATAGGTATCGATATGGTGAACTGAATTCAACAATGTTTTTCTCTTAAACCAATTATTGAAAACATACTGTGAAAAAACACGGTCCTTTATGTAATGTTGACTGATTGACAACAATTTGATGCAAAAATTGTTTATTTATATTTAACTGTTTTTGTTAACATTTTTTGTTTTTTAGTGCAATTGTTTTTTGATCCTTTCTACCAATTCTTGAGAATGAAATAAAATATCTTTCTGAACCTTGTAGCATGTACAACATTTCCTTAGACCTCTCAATGTTATAGTTATACAAATGAAAATTTGGTTGATTTAACAAAAAGTATGCAAAAACTTAATACAAAACACCCCAAAAATAGATAAAATTAAGATAAACCTTTTACAAGATACTATTTAAAATCAACCAAACTTTCCTTTGTGTAATTACAATATTGAGAGACCTAAACACGTTGTGTTTGTGTCGTTTTGTTCCAATGAGGTTCGGATAGATGTTTCATTTCATCTGAACATATGATACCAAGAACAAGTGTCTGATGTGTTTTCTAAAACAATATAGAGAAAAGTATATATATATTTCAAATTAAAATGTTACCATCCAAAAGATTACCATTAAATTGACGATGTGTAAAATTTCATCATGTTTTGATGACTGGTTTAAGAGAAACGCATGTTCAAAAAGTTCATCATATCGATACCACTCCTTTGAGCCAAATCTGTCAACTAGTATTTTTCAAGAAAAATGTCAGTCATTTTGAATTGAGTGACCATATTGAAAATTCCTCCTTGAGCCGAAAATTTGAATCAAAAAATCAATCAACATAGAGTGATTGTATTGCAGAATTTTGTTTTTTTGAAAATTTGCACAGAATTTGGATTTTCCGCTTGCAGAATTTCGCTTTTTTCTTTCCGGCATGAGTATGTGTGATTGTTGCTAATTAATGTGAATTTATATTTCATTGCCTCTTGAAATAAAATATATGCTGAACAGTATTTACAGATATAACAATATGAAACTAAATATCAATAAATAAAAATATTTCTTACATAACTTACATAATTGTCAGTGACAATTATCACTTACCTCCAAAAAAATCTTCCATCTCAATTTCAACAACTATAAATTATGACAGTTCACTTATTTGAACAGTTAACATGCATATGTTTTGTCTGAATCTATGTTGAGTACTCAACATTGGACTTAGCACCAAATATGAGATAAGTGTTTCATAAACATATATTTTATGTTAATACATAAGACAATTTATAAATGAACTAGATATTGTCATCTGATCATGTGAAATCATCTTTTAACAAGCAATGTAATTCACATGAGTTGGATTTTATACAGCAGATATACCAATAATAAGCCCCCCCCCCCCCAGCCCCAATCAGGTCATTCAGAGAGTCTGTCTAAAAGTAACATGTTTTAGGGAATTATCCACTGTGTAGCAAATTAATAGCAACAAACAAATTATTCATGAATCTGAAATATGTCACAATATTATCTGTAATCCAATTCTTAAACTTTAATTGTTAGGATGATGATTGAGCTTTTAATAACCAGACTACAATATATAATACAAGTAATTTATTAAATGGGGCTCAGATAACACATGCTTCTATAGACCAATACGCGATAGACGAAAACATGGTCATTAACATAAATATCTCAAGTAAGACAAATTTTCATTGGTCCATTGATTAAACCAAATTCTCCCAACCTTAAAACTGTGTTTTTGCATATTGTCGAGACGATAAAGTTTATTACTAATTTCAAGTTACAACCCTCACATTTGATACAAGTCAAACATA